ATCCCCATAACCCATCTTTCCCACCCCGGTTCTAGATCAAATCCCAGCAGAGCGAAGTAACCAGAATCCTCGATGGGAAAAACATCAAGTATGAGCTGGTTGATATCTCCCAGGACAACGCTCTGCGGGAGGAGATGAGGGCGAAGGCGGGCAACCCCAAAGCCATCCCACCCCAGATCGTCAACGGGGACCACTACTGCGGGGTAAGGCTCGTGCTAGGTGCCGTAGAGGTTGGGTGGTGGGTGATAATCATCCTGTCTAGCTTGGGTTTGCTCCTGATGATGTTAAGTTTCCTTGCAAAAGATTTTTCTCATGAGATGCATGGACAAGGTGCTGCCAGGGTTAATGGGTGTTTGGAGAGCACAGTGAAAAATGGGAGCCAGGCAGGAGGACTCTAGGCCACCGTGGGTGGAGGGGCTGCGTTGTGCGGGGCTGTCCCTGCTTCTCCCTGTCATCCTCCGCGCGACTGACTGGCACCCATGCTGTGAACAGTCTGTGCTGTGTGTGCAGCGGACCCCGTGCTGCCCAACCAGTGGGAGCCTACGGCTTGCCCTTGCCTTGTGAGCAACCGTGTGGCTTTTCCCTGCAGGATTACGAGCTCTTTGTGGAAGCTGTGGAGCAAAACACCCTGCAGGAGTTCCTGAAGCTGGCCTGAGTCCCAGCACTCCTCCCATCCTGGACTTTACCTGCATTCCTGAGCACCCTCATCTCTGACCACCTTCACTTCTGGGTTGTCAGCGCTATCCTGGCACCGCAACCTGTATCCCAGCACAAGGGAAACCCATGACCAAAACTACTCATTGCAGCTGCCTATGATTCCCTCCGGCCTAACCCTGATATCATCTCAAGAGGGATCCAAAGAAAGTGACGCTCGCTGCGCATGGCCTTAGAGCAGAGCTGGGCCTGGCTCACACCGCAGCTTCCAGTGCCTCTGTAAACAGCAAAGCCTCTGGGGCTGCGTGAAGTGCAGCCGCCCGTCAGCCCTCTCCTCTGTGGGGAGAGCTTCTGCTCCAGGAGGGAAGGGCTTAGGGCTGCGTGTTACTTCTTGCTTCTCCCAGTTGCTGTTAAAATTGTAAATCTTGCTGCCTCACTTCCTTTTTCTGGTTTGTTTGCAGTTTGGGGTGGTTTTTTTTTTTCGTCTCAACTGCAGAGATCATGGCAACTAAGTTGATTTTTGTTTGTTTTTAATTTAATGCAAAAATACTGCACAGAGCTGAGGTCTGAGCACCCACTGCAGAGAAGGCTGGAGGCGAAGGTGGGGGTCATGGCAGCCGGTCTCAGTGGGGTGGATGGGCCTCGAAGTGGGACCCGTGCTGCAGTGCTGGGGTTTCCTCGTGAGTATCGATGCCTCGGGGCTGCTTCAGAACAGCTGATGCTCCAGCTGTCTTACCTTTCCTCTTTGAGTTGGCTTTTTTTTGCAACCTGGACCAAGTGCATTTTGTTTTCCTGCCAAAAAGCGAGTTTATAACCATTGTTGTCTTCCAAGATGCTATTAAATGTTACTGTACCTTTCACATCACTACTCGTGGGTTTCTTTTAAATTTAGTTTTATTTTGACTACAGGTTAAGCATCATCCTGCGTAACGATTCTGAGTCATTTCCAGCTCAGAGAAGCTGAGTCAGTTGTACTCCCTGCTGCAGCCTGACACAAAGATCTTGACACCTTAGATTGCTGCTGCTAATCAAAAGCTCACAGGACTTGTCTGAATATTCTACAGCACGGTAGTGCCAGGTACCTCTCTTAAACATTCCTCTGCTCTGCGTGGTGAAAACAGCAGCCTGGGGGAGGGACAGCTTCAGTGGAAAACAAACCGCTGGCACCAAGATTACCTGGATGGTTATAGATCAGGATATAGAGGGGCCATGGAAAAGGTTTTGCTCTGTAGGAGGGTTCTCTGTACACTCCTCTATCTGCCATAGGTGAAAAAAGGAGGAAACTAACTTAGAGCTGTGGGGAGTGGCTGGTCAGGGGGAGCCTGTGGGAGCAGCTGGTTTGCGCAAAAGGTGCTTCCTGTGTTTGAGTCTTCCAGCTCTGGTTGGAAGAGTCCAGGAAGGTGGCTCTGGCCACTTGCCCCCTTCCACAGCAACCATGCTGTAGAAATCGTAACGGAAGCAGGAACTGCAGCTGAAACAGTTTTATTGGGAGACTTTAATGAGGGCTGGGCGGCAGCGGCTGCAGGGCCTCTGCGAAAAGGGAACCTGCCA